AGGAGAAGTTTAAGTTTAAAAAATTTGGCTCTCGAAAGAAATGTCAATCGTTGTACTGTTGATATTTGGCTCTGTTGACTAATGAGTTTGCCGACTACTGGTCTAGCTCATATTTGTTCAACAAATATTTATTGTACCCTTACTAAGTGCTTCCGGACAATGGACATACAGTGGCAGTGAACATAATGGGCATGGCATTTAAAAAACATATATATTTTTATTGGTTTCAAAGAGGAAGGGAGAGAGAGAGATAGAAACATCAGTGATGAGAGCGAATCATTTATCAGCTACCACCTGCACACCCCACACTCGGGATCGAGCCTGCAACCTGGGTATATACCCTGAGTGGGAATTGAACCATGACCTCTTGGTCCATAGGTGATATTCAACCACTGAGCAACACCAGCCAGGATTGGCATTATTGAAGTAAACACACAAAATGAAACTATAATAACAAGCTATAATAAGAACTTTCAGGAGAAAAATGGGGTGCTATGGGAAGGAATAATATAGTTCTTCATAAAAATTGGAGTGGTAGGTAGAGCCAGGGCACTAGAGCCTTTTGAACCACTGAAGATTTTTAAGGGAGATATTAATCTGGTTTACATTTTTTTTTTTAATCAATCTTTATTGTTCATATTATTACAAAGGTTCCTCATTTCTTCCCCCCTCCACCAGGTTCCCCCCCCACCCTCCGTCCCCCCCCCCACCCCCCATTGTCCTCATCCATAGGTGCAGTTTATGTTCAGTCTCTTCTTCCCTCAATTTCCCCAATAGTAAATCCCTTTTCAGATAGTAAATCAGTTATTTAGCATTTTCTCATATCAATAATACCTCCACATGCCCAATGATACACTTCACACAAAAGACATTTCCCTCTAGGTCAACCAGCCTCATCCAGGCCCCACCCAAGGCACTCACAGATCAACACCCCAGTCCTAAACTAACTCAACACATCCAGATCTAAGCCTTCATCACTTGATTCAGCAGACCCTCAAGTTCCCACGAAAATTTCCAGCCATGTCTGAGAAGCAGCCGTGGGGCAGGGGCAGGCAAGGAGCGAGCTGTTCTGGGCCTGGCTGCTCAGGGCCTGGCCTCTGTTGCTCTGGTTCATTCCACAACCAGCTGCTCCGGGTCTGGTCACTGCCGCTCCCGACCTAGTTGCTCTGGACTTGGCTGCTGCTGCTCCGGGCCTGGCCGCTCCCAGCCTGGCAGCCGCTGCTCCGGGCCTGGCCGCACCCGACCCGCCTCTCCCCCGGGCCTGGCCGCTCCCAGCCTGGCAGCCGCTGCTCCGGGCCTGGCCGCACCAGCCCCGCCTGCTCCCCCGGGCCTGGCCGCTCCCAGCCTGGCAGCCGCTGCTCCGGGCCTGGCCACACCCGACCCGGCTGCTCCCCCGGGCCTGGCCGCTCCCAGCCTGGCAGCCGCTGCTCCGGGCCTGGCCGCACCAGCCCCGCCTGCTCCCCGGGCCTGGCCGCTCCCAGCCTGGCAGCCGCTGCTCCGGGCCTGGCCCCACCAGCCCCGCCTGCTCCCCCGGGCCTGGCCGCTCCCAGCCTGGCAGCCGCTGCTCCGGGCCTGGCCGCACCAGCCCCGCCTGCTCCCCCGGGCCTGGCCGCTCCCAGCCTGGCAGCCGCTGCTCCGGGCCTGGCCGCACCCGACCCGACTGCTCCCCCGGGCCTGGCCGCTCCGAGCCTGGCAGCTGCTGCTCCGGGCCTGGCCGCACCTGACCCGGCTGCTCTGGGCCCGGCTGCCCCGGGCCCGGCTGCTCCGAGCCTGGCCAATCCCGACCTGGATGCTCTGGGCTTGGCTACTGCTGTTCTGGGTCTGGCTGCTCCCACCCCGGCTGCTCTGGGCCCGGCTTCTCCGGGCCCGGCCACTCCGGGTCTGGGTGTTCCTGGACTGGCCACCCTGGGCTTGGCCGCCTCCGCCTCATGCCTGGCTGCCACTGCCCCAGGTCTGGCTACTCCAGTGCTGGCTGTTGATGCTCTGGTTCTGGCTGCTGTTGTTCTGGGGCCTGGCCGTTGCTGCTCCGGGTCTGGCTGCCACTGCCTTGTGCCTGGCCACTCTAGGCCTGGCCGTTGCTGTTCCAACATTCTGTCCTTTTTTTTTTCTTTTTAAAACGCATTTATGTTGCAATGTTGGCTGGTGAGTTGAGTTCTGACTTAGTCTTTGATTTTTCAAGATCTTCTTTGTATTCTTTCTTAAGTAATTTTACTATTGTTTGCTCTCACTTGATTTCTTCACATTGAGAACTTCTTTGGTTTCTTCCTCCTTGTCCTGGGAGCTCAGCAGGTTGGCCTGTGGCACCCCTTTGTTCTCCGCGGGCTCCTGTGCTGCTTCAGCCTGTTGCCGGGACGGCGCCGCCCAGGAAGCAGCCCCCGGCCTTAGCTCCATTGCCCGAGCTCAGTGGTCAAAGGCTCAGGGGCACTCACGCCCCCAGGGGCCCCGTGGCCCGCCTCCTTGCTGGTGCCCGGTTGGCTGGAGTCCGGCAGGGGCTTCCGCTCCCCTCCGCGTTTCCCCAGCCTAGAGCTTTTTTTTTCTCCTTCCCGCTAGGGAAGTCCAGCATCAGAGTCAACAGACTGTCCTCTGCGCGCAGTTTGCGCGAGTCCCACAGACTGTCCTCTGCGCGCAGTTTGCGCAAGTCCCACAGACTGTCCTCTGCGCGCAGTTTGCGCGAGTCCCGGGGGCCCGGCCTTTCGCCGCTCTCCCCGGACTCCACCTCACAGCCCCGTCTCCCTCTGCCTGAGCCTGGGTCCCCAGGGATTGGCCCAGAACTGGGGTTCGGAGCAGTCTGGACTGAGGCTCAGCGCCGCCGGAGGCCTTGTTTCTTCCGGCTAGGGTAACCCAGCATCAGAGTCAATATTCAGTCCTCTGCGCGCATTGCGCGCGACTCCCGGGGCCCTGCCTTTCGCCGTTTTTCCGCCTCACGGCCCGTCTCCTCCCGCAGGAGCCTGGGTCCCCAGGGTCTGGCCCATAACTGGGGCTCAGCGCTGCCGGTTCGGGGGGGGGCTCAGCGCTGCCGGTTCGGGGGTTCAGCCCAGGGTGGAGGTTTTATTTCCTTCCTGCTAGGGAAGGAAAGGCGGCTCCCCGCCCTCTCCTCCTCTCTGGCTGAGACCTCTCCGTGCGAGCGTGCGGGCGGGCAGGCGCGCGCAGCATGTCTCCGTACCTTAGGCTTTTTTTCAGCTCCTCTGATTTTCTTTCTGGTTTTCTCTTTCCTTCTTGTTGTAGAAATTTCAGTCAGTCGACTACCTGTAGCTCTGGGCAATGTCCACTCTACATCTTAGTTGTATTCCATTGAAATTGTTGTGTGCTGCCGCGGCTAGATGTCTACCCGAGCAGCCATCTTTGATCCTCCTGGTTTACATTTTTACAGATCCTCCTGGCTGGGAGGAACTGGGTTAGAGCAGGAGCAAGAATGCAAGTGTGAAAACCAGTTGAGGTTTTTGCAGGACAGGAGAGAGATGATGGTGGTTGGTCCAAAGTGGTAGAGGAAGAATCTATGGATTAAAAAAATCCCAAGCCCTAGCTGGTTTGGCTCAGTGGATAGAGTGTCAGACTGCGGACTAAAAGTTCGATTCCGGCCAAGGGCACATGCCCAGGATTGCCAGCTAGATCCCCAGTAGGGGGCATGCAGAAGGCAGCCAATCAATGATTCTCTTTCATCATTGATGTTTCTATCTCTCCCCTCTCCCTTCCTCTCTGAAATTATATATATATATATATATATATATATATATATATATATATATATATATATATCAAAAGATGTACGCTCAACTGCAATCTATGGACCTTGTTTGAAGCCTGATTTTATTTTTTATTGTAAAAAAAAATGATCATGAGACAATTATAAATTTGAACGCAGGCTATTTGATATTAAGGAGTTAAAAAGTTTTTTGTTTTGTATCTTTTTTGGTTATTTACTTTTTGTTTTGTTTTTCTTTTTTTCTTTTTTCTTCCTTTAATTTTTATTAGTGTGTGTGTGTGTGCATTGGAGCCACTGAGCAACACCCGGAGCCAATGCAAATGTCAAACAGGCTTCCTCCTCATGTGGGGCTTATGTTGAGAGGCCCCTGTTTAGAAATGGCTGCTAGGCTCTGGTTTTTCTGGTGGTGGAGGTGGTGGTGGTGGTGATGGTGTGTGTGTGTTTAATTTTTGAGCGAAACAGCCACTAGGAGCCCTATAAACTATGAGAATTTGGGATCTTCATTTGCATGAGAATGGAAGATGGGGCAGGTATTTTCTTTTTTGGGGGTGGACACTAGGTACAGGAATACAACAGCAGTGAGCAAGCCATAGTCAAACTTCACTCATGAAGATTATTCTTATAGAGGAAGACAAACAATATGCAAGGAAACAAGGTAATTTCAATGATAAATATTGTGAAGAAAATAAAAATATATTGTAACAAATAGGGAATGATGGAGCTGGCCAACATGTTCTAAGTAGGGTGAGCGATGACTATTGCATTAATGAGAGAGCCAGTCATGAAAAAGTTCAGGCGTGGGGGAAAGAGTGATCCAGGGCGAGACAACTGTAATTGCAAGACCCTGTGAGGAAACATTTAATGCAGACCCAGGGAAGAACCTGATCACTTAGATTTTATTCTAACTGCAATCTCAAGTCTGATTTATGTTGTTAAAAGATCACTACGGCTTCTTTGGAAGAATGCATGAAATATCTACTATATTCAGAGTCTAAAATTCTTGTAAAATACTTCAGTCCCATTTCTTGGCTACCTCTTGTCAAAGAGTAAACCTCCCATATCCACAAGGGGCGCTCTAGCCGCCCGGTCGACAGAATGCGATGCTCAGCACTCTATGGTTCTTTTAGAACAATCGGCCGCTTCCGGGAGCGGTGGTGTCCTCTCTACCCGCCCGTCTCCGTGGTCGCTGGGGCCCCGCCCCGCTCTGGGCGGTCGTGCTCTCTATGCTCCCCGGACTCTGCCCGATCCGACCCGACGCCGGGGCAGCCAAGCTCCGGGCTGGGTCGGGATCTGGGTCATGGCGGTTCGGGGGCCCGCGCCCGGGGCTGGCGCCAGGTGAGCAGGGCGGCTGGGGAGGAGGGTCGGGCTCGGGGCGCCCCACCAGGGGCTGTGTGGAGACGGGGCTTGGAGAGCCGCCGCCCGAAGGGGCACCCACCTCCGCGGGAACCCGAAGGCACCCTCCCAGCTTCGCGCTTCTGCCATCCCCTGCAGCCAGGGTGTGGGGTCCTCTCCCGGAAAGCTAGCTCTTTCTCTCCGTCCTCCCTCCCTGCTTTCCTTGCACCTCAAGTGCACAGAATTGAGTTGTTCGCCCTGCTCAGTTCTTGGCACACTGTGGCCCATGGTTGTTGTTGTTTTTTTGTTTTTTTTGGTTGTTTTTTTCTCTCCATCTTTCGTTCCTTAGTCTCAAACCCCTTTCTCTCCCCTTCTGAGACACACACTCTTGGTGTCTCTTAAGGGAGTGTCTTTACAGCCCACTTTACATAGGTTTGCATATATGTTACCTAGCAAAACAGTGGTTTGGAATTCATATAAATGATAATACGCTGTGAGTTTTTGGAAAACTGTTCACCCAACATTGTGTCTTTGAGACCATATATGCTGTAGTAATCTAGTTTCCACCTCTGGGTACATCTGAGTGCATTAGATCCCATTTTGCTTATACATTCTAGTGATGGACACTTCAATAGCTTCCTTTTTTTTTTTTTTTTTTTTTTTTTTTAAGAGAGAGAAACATTGATTTGTTTTTCCACTTATGCATTCACTGATTCATTGGTTGCCTCTTATATGTGCCCTGGTGGGAGATCGAACCTGCAACCTTGATGTAGCACACCGTAACCAACTGGGCTACCCGGCCAGGACCTGCTTCCGACTTTTAACCACCAGAAACCATACCGGTGTTTGTCTCCTGTGGGTAGGGGTGGTTTTCTCTGGATTATCTGTCCCATGCTGGGTCATACCTGTTCTACTAAACTATTCTCTGAAATGGTCACACCAGGTTATGCTTCCTGAGGGCACTGAATCAAGGTCTCTGTTTCCTCGTATCCCCCCCATTCATCCCCACCCCTCTGCCCCCGCCAACGTTTGATATTATTTGGTTTTTTATTGTTTATCGAGTGTAAGGTGGTATCACATTGTGTTAATTTACATATATTAAGCACCTTCTCTCTCTTTTTGTTAATCCTTACCCAATAATATTTTTCCATTGATTTTTAAAGAGAGTGAAAGAGAGGGAAAGACAGAGAAGCATCAATGTGAGAGAAACACATCGATCGGTTCCCTCCTGCACGTGCCCTGACCAGGGCCCTGGGCTGGGGAGGAGCCTCAGCCAAGGTATAAGCCCGTGATTGGAATTGAACCTGGCACCCTTTGGTCTACAGGCCCATGCTCTATCCACTGAGCCAAACCGGCTAAGGCATCTGAATTGTCTATATCCTTTTCCTATTTTTTTTATGGATTTCCTGGTTTCCTGACTTGCAGAAATTTCTTGTATGCTCTGGATTTTAATTCCTCTTTGGTTTTATACCGTGCAAATAACTTCTCCAAATATATATATATATATCTATATATATATATAATTGATTTTTTCACAGAGAGGAAGGGAGAGGGATAGAGAGCTAGAAACATTGATGAGAGAGGAATATAGACCAGCCGCCTCCTACACACCCCTTGCCGGGGATGTGCCCGCAACCAATATACATGCCCTTGACCGGAATCGAACCTGGGACCCTTCAGTCCGCAAACCGATGCTCTATCGACTGAGCCAAACCGGTTTCGGCCCTTCTCCAATTCTTTAACTTAATCTTTGACATTGTATTGAACAAAAATGTTTCATTCTTAGTTAAATTCATTTGTTTTCCTCTTTACAGTTTGTGGTTTTAGGGTCTTATTTAAGATTTGCCGGATCTGGTCCTAGCATTGCTCTACAGACTGAAGGGCACATGCCTGGCACGCAGGCTCCATCCCCCAGTGCCGGGCATTCAGGAGGCAGCCAATCAGTGATTCTCACCACTGATGTTCCTATCACTCTCCCTCTCCCTTCCTCTCTGAAATCAGTAAACATATACATATTAAAAAAAAAAAAAAAAAGAATTGCCAGCATGCTACTGTTCCAGGGAGCATGCCTGTACCATTCCCTTCCTACTCCTTTTCCCACATGAGACTTGCAACCAGGGAAGCAGTGGGCGGCAGCAGCTCATCCCAGGCTAACCCCCTGAACCTGTCTCAAGGCCCCCTTCCCTCCTTTTTATCTGACTTCCCAGCGAACCAAAGCAGCCCAGCCTAGGCTCTCCTATTGCTTTTTCTATGCCTTTCCTTGTTTCACTGCCCTAGGAATGTTTTTGCTGTGGTCAATAAATTCTTGCTTGCTTTTCTAAAAAAAAAAAAAAAAAAAAGCAAAGAATGAATTACCTTCCCACTATTATCTTCATTGAGATATTCTGCATTTCCTTTTAATCCATTTGGAGTTGTTAAAGTTTGTTTTTGTAAATGATTTAAGGTAATGACCTAAATTTTCCTCCACCATTTTTTTTTTTTTTAAATATATTTTATTGATTTTTTTACAGAGAGGAGGAGAGAGGGATAGAGAGCTAGAAACGTCGATGAGAGACAAACATCGACCAGCTGCCTCTTGCACACCCCCTAATGGGATGTGCCCGCAACCAAGGTACATGCCCTTGACCGGAATCGAACCCGGGACCTTTCAGTCCGCAGACCGACGCTCTACCACTGAGCCAAACCGGCTTCGGCTTCCTCCACCATTTTTAATGAATAAGTAATGAATTCAATAAAAATTAGAAAAGCTTGGAAGCTTAGTTATGAGCACAGATTCTTAAAGCCCAGCTGCCTGTGTTCAAAACCCAGTGCTGCCGCTTACCGGGTGGGTGGCAGGGCAAGTGCCTCGTTCCTCGTCCATAAAACAGGAGATGGTCTCTGTATCTTACAGCCGTGACAATTAAGTGGATTCATACATGTAAAGCATGTAGAACATTACATGTTTAATCAGTGTTGACAACTAATAATATGTCCTTTCTTGTGATGTATCCTCTTATGAGCCCATGCAAACATAGGTCTATTTTTTATTTTTGGGTCTCTATTCCATTGCTTCCCCTGCCCCATTGCTTTTTTTGTTCCTGTATTAACAACACATTTTGACATTACTCCAGCCCTGTAATATGTGATAATGACTTCATAACCTGATGATTTGGGTCTCTTCCTCCTCCTTTTCTATTCACAATTGTCCTAAGCTATCCATGGACTTTTATTTCCATATAAAGTTCCTCAGAGAAGTCCTGTTTTTGATTGGTATGTTAAATGTTAGAAATAAGGTCTTTATAATAGTAAGTCCTGCCAGCTCTCTTCTTTATTTCACATCTTATCATAAAGTTTTTTCCTCCAAAATGTCTTATATATTCTTTTTTAAAAGTAAATTCCTGGATAGTTTATAAGTTTTCTATGCTTTTCTTTCTTTTGTAATGACACTTTTCATTATATTTTCCAGTTGGTGATAGTTGGTGAGAGCTCTTGATATTTGTATGCTAACCCTATATCTAGCTTAATTCTGCTTATTAACAACATTTTTAAAAAAATATATTTTATTGATTTTTCACAGGGAGAAAGAGAGAGGGATAGAGAGTTAGAAACATCGATGAGAGAGAATTATCAATCAGCTGCCTCTTGCACACCCCTACTGGGGATGTGCCTGCAACCAAGGCACATGCCCCTGATGGGAATCGAACCCGGGACCTTTTAGTCTGCAGGCCGACGCTCTATCCACTGAGCCAAACCGTCCCGGCTATTAACAACATTTTGTTTACTTATTTGCTTGTGTTTCCTATATAAATGTTCACTTATCTGCAAATAATGACAATTTAACCTCTTCCCTTTCAATCTTGCTATCTCATTTATTTATCCTGTTTTATTCCTTTAGCCAGGACCTTGAAATCCTTGATGAAGCGGACTTCCTTGTTTATGACCATCAAGAGGATGTGGCTTAAATTTCTTTACTAATTATGTTGTTGTTGTTTTTTACTCTAAATGACCTTTTATGACATTATTCAACTTAAAGAAATGTCTTTCTATCCCTGTTCCCACCCTTCCATCCGCATGGCTTGAGTATTGAACACTCCCACCCCTTGGCCCCAGAACCGTGTAGTTAACCTAGGTATCTGCTCGAAGGCTCAAATGCCCTCTTTAAGTTTCTCTCTGCTTCTCCTTCTATTCTTCAGGCCCAGATTAGATGTGCGGTTTCTCCAGCGGTTCCTGCAGATACAAAAGGTTTTGTTTCCCTCTTGCTCATCACAGAATGCCTTGATGTTCCTGACCCTTTTGGGCGTGGCCCTCCTGGGTGAGTGAGTGAGTCCAGGCGAGGCGGGGGGAGGGCAGTCCTGGTGTTGGGTCTGTTTCCTTCTCTCTCTCTGGGGTGTTGATGAGGCCAGGACTCAAGAGGAAGCCTTTTTCCTTCCCCCACCCCTCATCACTGATGCCTGACTCCTCCCCCTCCCCCCAGAACAACTGGTCATCTACCAGGTTGGCTTGATCCCCAGTCAATACTACGGGGTCCTGGGAAACAAAGACTTGGATGGGTTTAAGACCCTGACATTCCTGGCTGTGGTGCTCATCGTTCTCAACGCCATGGTAAGGTGTTCTCTCTCTCTCTCTCTCTCTCTCTGTCTCTCTCTCTCTCTCTCTCTCTCTCTCTCTCTCTCTCTCTCTCTTTCTCTCTCTCTCGCCAGCCTGGCATGAGTGGAATGTCCAGGGTCACCGAGTCCCTAGGAAGTAGGAATCAAGCTGTGGGCGTGTGTTCCCTGCCTTTTCTAGGAACCCTGGGTAGGACATTGATCTCGCTGCTGGCCCACTGGGGCCAATTCCTCGAGTGTTTCAGGCTCACAGGCCTAGGCCACGAGGTTCTGGTTTAATTTAGCACTTGGCAGAAATGATCACTGTTCTTTCCATTCCCAGAACTCTTGCTTCAGGAGCAGCAGCCAGAGCTGCTCTTCCTCTGGGACTGAAGCTGTGACTCAGCTGGCTCCGCATCTCACCTCCCGGCTTTTGCACCTGCTGTTTTCTTGCAGAACGGCCTCCTTCCCCCACCGTGCGCTTACTTGATTAACGCCTGCTCACCTTCAAGTCCTCCTCAGCTTTCTCTTCCATGTCTCCTCCACCAAACTCTGTCCTTTTCTCTTCATGCGTAACGCTTTGAGTTTACCTCTGCGGTAACACTCCTTACATCCTCGTAGTTGTCTGCCCCCTGGCTAGACTGAGCTCAGTGCTATTTCCCCCCATGCTCAGCAACCAGGTGCCACATAACTGGGGGGTGCTGAGAGTCGGGGCTCTGTTAGGACTCCGTCAGGCTGTACTGCTCATTTTCTTGGTTCTTAGGGAAGCCATCTCATCACACTCTGGCACTTTCGCTGTGTCTCCGGTCATACAGAGCCCTGTTCCATGTTTTGGAACAGAAAAGTAAAGAACATAAATGGACTAGGACATATTGTTGCCAATCTCCAGAGGCTCACGCTCTCCGGTGGAGGCAGTACAACGTAGAAAGGGAGCGGAGGGCCTTGCCTTTGGCAGGCCCTTCCCTGTTTGGGGAAGGAATGACCATGTGGGTGAGTGCAGAAGGGAAAAGTCCCGTGCCTTGTGGCTTTCAACAAGAGGAAGTGCTGAGTGGGCAGAGTCACTAGAGCGGCCTGGGCCTGGTCAGCAGATGCTTTCTGAGCGTTGAGCTGAGCCCTGCAGGAAGCCACTCTCCCTTTCCCTCCCTCCCCCTGCCTCCCCCCCACTGCGCAGCTGAAGAGCTTTGACCAGTTCACCTGCAACCTGCTGTACGTGAGCTGGAGGAAGGACCTCACCGAGCATCTCCACCGCCTCTACTTCCGCGGCCGCGTGTACTACACCCTCAACGTGCTGCGGGATGACGTCGACAACCCGTAGGCCTCCCCACTGCGTCCTCCCCGCTCAGTCCTCCCCGCTCAGTCCTCCCCACTCAGCCCTCCCCGCTCAGCCCTCCCCGCCCCCTGCGTGGTTCTGTCCCCCCTCCTCCCCCCCCCCCCCATCAGCCCCGGAGCACTCCTGCGGCAGATCCCTTGGAGATTGCCTACAGCTACCTGCCTGTGTTGATAAGAGCCAGGGGGGCAGGGTTGCGCTGCAGAGGAGGCCCGGACAGGCTGTGCGGCTGAGAACAAGAGGCTAAAAATAGGAGCAGCGCCCTTCTGACCGTCTCACGTCCTGGGCTTCCAAATCAGGCCCCCTCTGAAGAGCGTGTCCTGCCAGAAAAAGCGAGGAAACCAGCTTTCGGATTTCTAGCAGTAAAAAAATTGCTGTCTAGGACTCAGTCTAGGATTTAAATCTTTCTACTGTCACTTCCCCATTTATAGGCCTTACGCTCACTGGTAAGCCCCAGGTTCCCTTTCTGTAAAATGAGGAGAAAACCTCCTATTTCAAAGAATATAGTGAGGGTGAAACGATATTCGTGTGATACACGCAGGCAGTGCCGGGGACAGGCATCAGCTGTCAGTCAGCTGTCAGTTAGCTGTTGTGATCTCACAGGTGAGGAAACAGGCCCAGAGGATGCAGGGGACTTGCCCAAAGTCACGTCCCATTGGAAATAGTCGGCGTGGCTCTGGTGCGATGGGATATATGGGGTCTCTCCTCATCCTCGCTCCCTCCCACTGGGCACCCCCCGCCCCCAAGGCACTTCTTTGCCTGAGATGACCTTTTCTCAGCTCAAGCTGAGCTCCGCGGCAACGATTTTTGGGAGGGTGCTGCTGTTAGCTCTCTCCTGGGCCTCTCTCTATGGCTCACCCCATAGAAGCTTCCACAGCCAGACAGCTAAAGTGGAGACAGGCTCACGCTCGTAAAAGAAGAGCGAGCGAGATAAATGGGATCGCTTCCCTGATCATCCAGAAACTCAGCTTAAGAACCCTCAGAACTGGACCAAGACCCTGGGGTGCTGGGCCTCCCAGTTGTCCATGTTTCTGAGGAGTAAACTGAGGCGCCATCAAAATCCTGTTTAGGATCCCGAGGGTCTCATTGCTTCTGGGAAAACCAGCCCTCGTAGGGGTCCATCTTCCCCCAGGGTCACTGACAGGCCGGGTAACGTGGCCTGCCTGAGCCTCTCAGCCCTCGAGCTCAGCTCCTGGTCCAGCTCCTCTGTGTTGTCGGTTCCAGGGACCAGCGCATCAGCCAGGACGTGGAGCGGTTCTGCCGGCAGCTCAGCAGCATGGCCAGCCAGCTGATCATCTCCCCCTTCACCCTGGGCTATTACACCTACCAGTGCTTCCAGAGGTGAAGCCTCTCTCGCCATATCCCTCCTCTGCTCCTGCCAGGTGTTTCCCCAGAGGTCCCTCGCTCACACGAGCCCTCCCAGGGCTCAAAAGAGGCTAGTCTTCCCTTCCTCCCACCTGCATGCCGGTCTCATCGCACATGCGTAGGACCCTGCCCTCCCATGGGCCCCGTGGCGATTCAGTGTCACAGGGATCTGGTGCTCCGATTGTATAGCCCCGGTACTAGGTGCCCCCCGCACGGGAGCCAAGGCCTCCCAGGGGCTGCCCGAAAGGGGGAAGGTATCAGGGCCAAGGCCCCGAGCATATGTGGCGCCCCCACCATCCCTGTCTCTGCCTTTCAGCACAGGCTGGCTCGGGCCCGTGAGCATCTTCGGGTATTTCATCCTGGCAACCGCGGTGAACAAGATGCTGATGGGGCCCATTGTGGCGAAGCTGGTGCAGCAGGAGAAGCTGGAGGGGGATTTCAGGTGTGTCTCCGGGTTTGAGGTTTGAGGGCTGGGCATAATGGTTAAGGGAGGGGATCTGGAATAAGGTGCCTGAATTCAAATCCCAGCTCTGCCAGTTGCTAGCATGTGCTCTTGGCTTTAATCTCTCTGAACTTGGTTCCCCATCCGAAAATAGGGATGGGACTGTTGCCTAAGAGGGAACCGTGAGGATTAATTGAGATTATACATGAGAAGCACTGAGGACAGTGTCTGGTTGGTTAGCATCATCATATCTTGGCCTTCTCAGTGCTTCTGTTTTAACCACCTGTTTCAAATGAGCCGATGGATTCGTCCCCTACTCCGTGCTCCGTGGACTCCTCCTTCAGGCTCAGCCCCGGGAGGAGAAGGTGCTGAGACCACCTGTCCTCTCTGGAGATAGGCAGGGGGCCACCCTGCTTAGGCCTGGGACCCCCCACTTTCCCCTTCACACACACCTCATGACCGTCCACAGAAGATTGGGGAGTAAGCTGCAGTTTTGAGGTGGAGCTGGACTCCCCTTTGTCCGGAGGGCTTGATCCAGGCCTCCAAAAGGGGGTGGGCACTGCCCACTGTCAGCACACGTTTTCCTTTGGTCTGCTCAGGTTCAAGCACATGCAGATCCGTGTGAACGCTGAGCCTGCTGCTTTCTTCAGGTGAGTTCAGGGGGAGTAGCCCCTCTCCCCGGTCAGAGCTGCCAGGGGAGATGGCAGAGGAGGAGAGCTGAATGCTACAACCCTCCCACCCTCCCCGGGCCTTGGGGCAGACATCCTTACACGGGGCGTGATCCTCTCCCCACATCTCACTGGCCTTGTCTGCCTCATCCTGTTTAAGCCCAGGATTTGTTCCTCTCATTGACCTAGCCTGAGGCCCACATTTGATCCAAGGAGGAAATGAGCGAATGCCTTCTCGTCTTGCTGACGTCCAAAGCTGCTCTGTAGTACAGGCGGGAACGGGAGCCTCCGGGGTTGGCAGTCCGCTCCCTACAAGCGCCGTCCTCGTAAGGTCCACGTGCGGCTGTTTGGTCTCCTGACCGGAGCATTGCGAAATGCCATTCCTCCCTCAGGGCCAGGGAAGGCCGTGCTGCCTCCAGTGAGGGCGCGGGAGCCATTGGCAGGCAGGCCCCGAGGTGGTGTTTAAGGAGGGGAGCTGTCTTGGAGCACCTGGACTCAAGCTCTGAGACCTTTGCGCTTCTGCCAGTCGCTAGCAGTTTTCAGCTTCCACCACCTGTGGGCGCCAGGAACGCCAGGACTGATCTGGGGTTTGGTAGTGCGGTGGGGTGGGTCTGTGCTAAGTTTTTTTTGGATTCTGCAGCTTCTGCTCATGAAGCTTTGGGCTCCGGGGGAAGCAGGTTGGGTGTTGGAGCTCTGGGTGTGTGCTTTTGTAGCCTCTGTGCCCATCTTTGTGTAAACTCTGCAATGCCCCCTCTGTCCACCCCTCCTCGGCTGCCTGTCCTAGAAGCCCAGGTCACCTTCTGAGAGCCTTCCTGGGCTTCATGAGTGCCCGGGCCTGTGAGTTCAGAGCTTGAAGATGCTCTGTGTGGTCACATGTCCCAGGTGAAGAGTGCGGAGCAGATGCCTGCCACACTGGCTGGCTGGCACGGAGCCTGCCACGTAGTGTCCTCCTCCCTGTGCCTTTGGTTAATGATAGCAGCTGTTATCTGTCGGGGTCCCTTCATGTGCCTAGCCCTTAATATAGCAGAAGTTCTCACTCTCGCCTGTTAGGTAGGTTATTATCAGCTCCATCTTACAGATGAGAAAATTGAGGCTCCTAGGCTTAAGTAATCAGTCTGTAGCTAACCAGAGCCAGGATTTGAACCAGGTCTGGCCAGTCGAGAGTTCGGGTTCTTTCTGCAGACCATACCAGGTAGGATGAGTGAAGCAATGAGTGGGTGCTAGTGTTAGGGTCAGAGGGGAAGACCATTGGGATGAGCTTAGTCCCTAACGGAGGGTGTGATGAGGGACAGGGTCCCCAGCCGGGCGGAGGCTCTCCAGACCCCGTGGACATTCCAGTCTTTCTCATCAGAGCTGGGCATGTGGAGCACATGAGGACGGACCGCAGGCTGCAGAGACTCCTTCAGACCCAGCGGGAGCTGATGTCCAAGGAGCTCTGGCTGTACAGTGAGTAGAGGGAACCCGGGAGGCAGGAACCACAGGGTCAGGATAGTCACCCTCCCCTCCCTTTCCTTCCTTTCCACTCCCCTTCCTTCCCCTCCCCGTCCTTCCCCTCCCCTTCCTTCCCCTCTCCTCCCCTCCCCTTCCCTTCCCTCCTCTTCCTTCCCCTCCCCTCCCCTCCCCTCCCCACTTTTCTCGGCACTGACTCAGTTTGCTCTGCTGAAGAGATTAACCAGGGGGAGCCACTGCCTTCGCCCTCGGTGTCCTCAGGAGAATGAGGATCCAGGGAATAGCTTGGTCCTGCTTGGCTTTCCGTCCCCCTCAGAGCACTGGAATGTTCCAGGATCTCACGCAGTATGTCTTCCACAGTCGGTATCAACACGTTTGACTATCTGGGCAGCATCCTGAGTTACGTTGTGATCGCAATCCCCATTTTCAGTGGTGTCTATGGAGACCTTAGCCCCACAGAGCTCAGCACCCTGGTCAGCAAGGTGAGAATCCCTCGTGATGACCCCTCCCGCTGCCCCCCGGCCCAGGACCTGGGGCCTGGGAGTCCCGGCCTGTGCTCACTGCTCCCATTCCATCCAGAACGCCTTCGTGTGCATTTATCTCATCAGCTGCTTCACCCGACTCATCGACCTCTCCACCACGCTCTCGGATGTGGCTGGCTACACACACAGGTGAGGCTGCGTCCCACGCCTCTGGTTTGTGAACAGAGCTGGCGCCCTGGGAGGAGGGGCTGAGTGAGAACGGGAACAGAAAGGCTCCCCCTATCCCAGTGAGCCTGAGAGAAAAGGGATCCTTGCCTTTACCTGGGCCCCGAGCCCCTGCCTCAGTTTTCTCCTCTCGCCCAGGATCGGGGAGCTCCAGGAGACGCTGCTGGCCATGTCCCTGAAGTCCCAGGACGGCGAGCTCCTGGACGAGAGCGAGTGGGACTCCCACGGGTGAGAATGGGCGGCTGTGTGTGCGGTGGTGAGAATCCAGGCCCCGGGGCTGCCTGGCTGGCAGCAGGGCCGTGTGGAGCAACCAGAAGAAATCGGTGGCCTGTGCCTGGCACGTTGCAAATGTTTGTAATAGGAGTTGCTGTTCTGGCATCCGTTGTGCTCATTTCCACTGACCCCCAGCGGGTGGAAGCAAAGTGCACACACCTGCCTGGGCCCGAGTTGGAATCTGACTAGTGGCCTCCTCTTCCCTTTCCCCTCTTCCTCTCACTGAGCCCTGCCGCCCGTCCTTTCCTCTGGCTTGTCTGGTCTTTGTCCGCTTGCCCCACGCAGGCCCGGGGGTGTCTGTACTCCTGTGTCTCTGCAGGCTCTGGTGTTTCTGACCTCTCTCTGCGTTCAAGATTTGTTTCATGTCCTTGCTTTTCTTGGGCAGAATTACTTAGCGGGTCTGTGTCTTTCTTTCTTCACCTCTATCAAGGGATATCCATGGAACCTTCCTCTTAGGGTTCTGAGGATTAGATACCATCCTTTATAGAAAGCACTTGGACAGTATCTACAGAGTAAGCTTTCGCAAATAGAAATTTTCTGAAACCCAGGACCTACATTCAACCCTCTGCTCAGGAACTGAAGCCTTAACTGTTGGCCCATCCTTAACTGTTGGCCCACGTTTCACGCAACTGTGAGCCCGGAGGCCGGTGCGCCAGTGCCGGGACCGCAGGAAACCAGCGCTGCTGGTCTCGGGGGAGACGGGCGTCCTCGGAGAGCCAGGAGCCCCGGAACTGTTTATGCTTGTTACCACTCTCGTCCTTGCCCTCCGTCCTCTAGTCGCACTGGGACACCCTGGGGACTCACCCACATCAGAATGAGACCAATCCAGCCCCGTGCCCCTGAGCAAGTTCCTTAGCCACCTGACCCGGCTTCCTCCTCTGCCAAGGGGGGATAACACCTGTGATTCCTGAGTTCTAAGCCTGCCTAACATCAGTCCTGTGTGGCGCTTTGCCAGCCTGGCACGAAGCCGGTGCCCCAGCTCCACCTCGGTGTTGGTCTGCTCAGGCTGCCATGGCAGAGTACCACGGGCTGGGTGGCTTCAACAGCGAACATTGGTCTTCTCTCGTTTGAGTCTAAAAGTCCTCGTTTTCTCCTGAGGCCCATCTGCTTGGCTTGCAGACGGCTGCCTTCTCGCTGAGTCCTCACATGGCCTTCCTGCGTGCACGCTCCCGACATCTCCCCGTTCCTAAAGGGCACATTGCGTTAGGGCCCTACCCAGAGGGCCTTTAAGGTTGTGGTTACCCCTGAGATACTAGGGGTAGGAGTTTAGCATGTGATTTTGATGATGCAATTCAGCGCATAACCCCAGCCCAGAGGTGACGTCCCCAAGGAGAAGAGCTTGCCCTTGGCAATACTGATGCTGGGTCTTCCCCTCCCCCTCCCTCCTCTAACCCCAGGGCCCCGGCATGGCCAGCAGCAGAGCCAGCGGACACAGCTTTTCTCCTCGATCGGGTCTGCATCTCCGCGCCCTCCTCTAACAAGCCCTTGATCAAGGACCTGAGCCTAAAGGTCTCCGAGGGGCAGAGCCTGCTCATCACCGGCAACACGGGCACCGGCAAGACCTCCCTGCTCCGCGTGCTGGGCGGCCTCTGGGCGAGCACACGGGGTGAGAGCCAGCCTCCCTGCCCGAGCCAGCCTTGGCTGGGAGCGTGTGTGTGTGTGTGTGTGTGTGTGTGTGTGTGTGTGCAGGCCTGGGGGAGGGGGACAGTGTGAGAGTGTGTGTGTGTGTGTGTGTGTGTGTGTGTGTGCAGGCCTGGGGGAGGGGGACAGTGTGTGTGTGTGTGTGTGTGGTGTGTGTGTGTGTGTATGGTGTGTGTGCATATGGTGTGTGTGTGTGTGTGTGTGTGTGTGTGTGTGTATGGTGTGTGTGGTGTGTGTGTAGGGGTGTGTGTGGTGTGTGTGTAGGGATGTAGGGGTGTGTGTGTGTGTGTGTGTGTGTAGGGATGTAGGGGTGTGTGTGTGTGTGTGTGTGTGTGTAGGGATGTAGGGGTGTGTGTGTGTGTGTGTGTGTGTGTGTGTGTGTAGGGATGTAGGGGTGTGTGTGTGTGTAGGGATGTAGGGGTGTGTGTGTGTGTGTGTGTGTAGGGATGTAGCGGTGTGTGTGTGTGTGTGTTTGTGCAGGCCTGGGGGAGGGGGACAGTGTGTGTGTGTGTGTGTGTGTGTGTGTGTGTGTGTGTAGGGATGTAGGGGTGTGTGTGTGTGTGTGTGTGTGTAGGGATGTCGGGGTGTGTGTGTGTGTAGGGATGTCGGGGTGTGTGTGTGTGTAGGGATGTCGGGGTGTGTGTGTGTGTAGGGATGTCGGGGTGTGTGTGTGTGTGTGTGTGTAGGGATGTAGGGGTGTGTGTGTGTGTGTGTGTGTAGGGATGTCGGGGTGTGTGTGTGTGTGTGTGTGTAGGGATGTAGGGGTGTGTGTGTGTGTAGGGATGTCGGGGTGTGTGTGTGTAGGGATGTCGGGGTGTGTGTGTGTGTAGGGATGTCGGGGTGTGTGTGTGTGTAGGGATGTCGGGGTGTGTGTGTGTGTGTGTGTGTAGGGATGTAGGGGTGTGTGTGTGTGTGTGTGTGTAGGGATGTCGGGGTGTGTGTGTGTGTGTGTGTGTAGGGATGTAGGGGTGTGTGTGTGTGTAGGGATGTCGGGGTGTGTGTGTGTAGGGATGTCGGGGTGTGTGTGTGTGTAGGGATGTCGGGGTGTGTGTGTGTGTAGGGATGTCGGGGTGTGTGTGTGTGTGTGTGTGTAGGGATGTAGGGGTGTGTGTGTGTGTGTGTGTGTAGGGATGTCGGGGTGTGTGTGTGTGTGTGTGTGTAGGGATGTAGGGGTGTGTGTGTGTGTGTGTGTGTAGGGATGTCGGGGTGTGTGTGTGTGTAGGGATGTCGGGGTGTGTGTGTGTGTAGGGATGTCGGGGTGTGTGTGTGTGTGTGTGTGTGTGTGTGTGTAGGGATGTAGGGGTGTGTGTGTGTGTGTGTGTGTGTGTAGGGATGTAGGGGTGTGTGTGTGTGTGTGTGTGTGTGTGTGTGTGTGTGTGGCAAAGGGGTGAGAAGCAGTTACCTCCCCGGGAGATCTCAGTGGAGGTTTCCTGGGCTCTGCAGGCTCAATGCAGATGCTGGTGGACTTCGGACCCCATGGGGTGCTGTTCCTGCCACAAAAGCCGTTCTTCACCGACGGCACCCTTCGGGAGCAGGTCAGCCTGGGGCCCACTCCTGCCCCCTCACGCTCCTGCCCCCCACAGCTGGGCCCTCTGGCAGTGTGAGGCCTCAGCCCGGGGGAGCTGTGGCATGGAGGTGGGTAATAGAACGGCCTGTGCCCGGGAACTCCTGGCTCTAAGAAGACAGAGCAAAAGTAGGTCTACGGTTATATAGGTTTTGTTGTCATACAAATAGTATATGTATTGCATTTGTGGTTAATGAGTAATAATGCAAGCAATGAACCCTGTTTCAGGTGCTCACAACGGTAAACCCACTTTGCCCACCCTGTGTTTTATTCACATCCATGAGCTGGCCGTCTGCTCAGAGCAACTCCCGGGCCTCAGAGCAACTCAGAGCAACTGGGGGCTGCAACCCAAAGCTCACAGCTTGTTGAGCACCGAGGGTGGATCCTGGGGCTGTGCCCTCAGGAAGCATAGGCTCTTTCCTCCAGACACGCTCTGGGGCTGCAGTGACCCTGGCCCGCTGTCCCCGGCGTGGCCTCTCCCACGGGGCCCTGGGCCAGGGCGTCCCTGACTCCTCGGGGGGATAGGAGCCCGGCCTCTGGCGGTTCCCGGGCTGGTTCGGGGGTGGGGGTGGGGGGGCTGTGTGCGGCCCCAGCTCGGCCTGGGCCGAGGCCAGTGTGCTGTTTTTTACCAGGTGATATACCCCCTGAAGGAGATCTACCCGGACTCAGGTGAGCCGGCCTCCCGGGGGCATGTCCTCCCACTTCGGCCGTTCGTACCTTTCTGACTGCACCTCACCTGTGCCCTCTGGGAGCGGCCCCAGCCAGGCTGCTGGGTTCAGACTGGGTCCCCTCCTCCTCGCCTGTTTGCTCATGGGGCCTGTGCCCTGACCTCATCTTGTCCGTCTTCCCCTCCTGGAGGGGAGAACCCACTGGAGGAAGGGGGGTGATTGCTTCCTTCACCAGAACCGTTCCCTCTTAGGCCTGTAGCCTCAGCCCAGATCCTGAGTCCCCTGCCCTGCCCCCTGCCATGCTGTGCCCCATCTATTCTGGCTGCCCAGGAGGAGCTGACCTCTAACCTCACTCACCAGGCCTGTCTGTTTTGCAGGTTCTACCGATGACGAGAGGATCATGAGGTTCTTGGAGTTGGCAGGCCTGGTAAGCGAGGGCAGGACCCTGAGGTCCAAGGCCACCTGGTAGCACTGATCACTAGCCCAGCACTCGGAGGATGAGCCTGGGACAAGGGGAATGGGAGTAAAAAGTGGCGGAGGGAACTGTTGGCCAGATAATGGGCAAAACGGGGGCACACTCTATAGTGACTTTTAAAATAACAATAAAACTATTATTTCTTGTCACCATGCTCCAACCCATCTAAACAATGTAGTTGATAGGATATTCCTCTGCCCGGGGCAGACTGCCCCCACCTTGGTACGCCAGTGGGGTGTAGGTCTGTCTCAGCACATGTGTGGAGGGGCCTGAGGGGGTTCCTCAGGAAGAGGATGGGCACTGGCATGGACATCGTTTCCTCTGGGTGTGTTACAGTCCAACTTGGTGGCACGGACAGAGGGGCTGGACCACCAGGTCGATTGGAACTGGTAAGACGGGGGCTGGGATGCTCCAGAGCCATTTCCCCCAAAGACAGTGGGTTCCAGGGGACCATTGAAGGGATAGGATGGCTCCTTGACCTCAAAGTCTAGGTTTCATGCCTTTGGGAGCAGAGTTTTAGCCTCACCTTGTGTGGGCAGCAGGGCTGTGGTTGAAAGGGGAGCTGACATCCATCTGTCCCGGGCCTGCCTCTCTGTAGCAAGAACCTCTTCCTGCCTAGACCCATTCTAGGCCAAGGCCAGACTATATACTCCTTCCTCCAGTGGTCCTCTCGCTCCCTTTCCTCAGGTATGACGTTCTGTCCCCCGGAGAGATGCAGAGGCTGTCTTTTGCCCGGCTCTTCTATCTGCAGCCGAAGTACGCAGGTGAGATCTGCCCTGTAAGTGTGCATGCCAGGTGCTGTGTGTGCCCACAGGTTCTTGCACACCTGGGCAGGGTTGGAGAACATGTAGGAGAACTCGCCTGTGTTGGTAGGCACGTGTGTCCTCACAGGAGAGGATGGCAGGTCTCTGCCATAAGGCAGCAGTGCTTGGCATCAGAGTGGCTCTGGATGTGAGCAGTAAGCTTTCTGCCATGGCCGCAGCCGGAGCTGCCGCGAGAGAGCTTGTGACTTTATGCTCTGCCATCCATAAATGGGCATCCCCCGAGCTGTGCCTGGCAGAGGGATGACTGGTGTGGATTTTTGCAAGGACTGACATCCTGTGGGGAAGCAGAATTCCCTGGATTGAGTGGCCCCAGGCCGTGTCTGGTGCTGATCTATAGGAGGCTGAGAGGTTTTGTCCTTCTGCTGGCTGAACGCTTTTGAGATGGAGCTTGGCCTCTGCTCGGCTGGCCCATCCTCTCTAAGGCTGGGTTCCCATAAGCCAGAGCAGCTTTCAGCCCCGCTCCGGGTCCCCGCCAGAGGTGAACGTGGGTTGAAGGAGGAGCAGAGGCAGGCAGGGGCAGTTCTCCATCTCTTCCCACCGGTTCTGCCCTCAGTGCTTGATGAAGCCACCAGTGCCCTGACTGAGGAGGCGGAGAGCGAACTCTACCGCATCGGCCAGCAGCTAGGCATCACGTTTATCAGCGTGGGACATCGGCGCAGCCTCGAGAAGGTACCTGTGCTCACAGGGTGGCTGAGGAGGAGGAAGAGCCCAATGGCTGAGCCTGGCTGGGGTCAGAGGCCCCTCAAAATGGGGGATGGGGTGGCAGAGGACAGGGCGTCAGTGGCCCCATGTTGTGATGGCCAGGCAGCCTGACCTCTGCATGGTGGTGATCTCTTATAGTTTCACTCCTTGATTCTGAAACTCTGCGGAGAAGGAAGGTGGGAACTGACCAGAATCAAAGAGGAATGAAGCCAAGGATGTGGCTGACCACTGAAAGGAGAGCCAGGCTCCGGGCGTGGCAGTGCCCAGGAGATACCCAGAGGCCCCGGGTTCGTCTCACAGAGTCTTTGCAGGGAGCGCTGGCCGCAGTGGCCCACCTCGGTGTGGCCTCCATGGGGTGCTAGTCTTGCCAGGCCTCCTGCTACCTCAGCCAGAGTGCCATACATTTGAAGTGCTGATTATTTACTTACAAATGACTGCAGATTTGTTTTCTAAAGAAAAACCTGAAAGTGAGGGCTCTATAAGAAATGAAGGATCAATGTGGAGAGAATATTGGACTTGGAGTCAAGAGATTAGAAATCTTTTTTTTTTTTTTAATAAATCTTTATTGTTCAGATTACAGTTGTTTCTCCTTTTTCCCCCCAATAGCTCCTCTCCACCCGGTTCCCCCATCCTCTGCCATTACCTCCCCCGCTGTCCTCATCCATAGGTATATGATTTTAGTCCAGTCTCTTCCCATACCCCCCCCCCACACACACCCCTTTCCCCCTGAGAATTATCAGCCTCCTCCCATTTTATGCCCCTGATTCTATTATATTCACCAGTTTATTCTGTTCATCAGATTTTTAATTCACTTGACTTTTAGATTAACTTTTTTTGTTTGTTTTTTTGTTTTTAAATATATTTTATTGATTTTCCAAAGAGAGGAAGGGAGAGAGATAGAGAGCTAGAAATATTGATGAGAGAGAAATATCGACCAGCTGCCTCCTGCACATCCCCCACTGGGGATGTGCCCACAACCAATGTACATGCCCTGGACCGGAATCGAACCTGGGACCTTTCAGTCCGCAGACCGACGCTCTATCCACTGAGCCAAACTGGTTTCGGCTAGATTCACTTGTTGATAGATATGTATTTGTTGTTCATAATTTTTATCTTTACTTTTTTCTTTTCCCCCCACTTTTTAAAGAACACCTTTTAGCATTTCATATAAGACAGATTTGGTAGTGATGCACTCCTTTAGCTTTTTCTGATCTGTGAAGCTCTTTATCTGCCCTTCAATTCTGAATGATAATTTTGCTGGGTAGAGTAATCTTGGTTTTAGGTTCTTGCTATTCATCACTTTGAATATTTCTTGCCTCTCTCTTCTGGCCTGCATAATTTCTGTTGAGAAATCAGCTGATAATCATATGGGTGCTCCCTTGTAGGTAACTGTTTTTTTCTTACTGCTTGTAAGATTCTGTCTTTGTCTTTTGCTCTTGGCATTTTAATTATGATGTGTCTTGGTGTAGTCCTCTTTGGATTTCTGTTGTTTAGGGTTTTGTGCACTTCCTGAATTTGTAAGTCTAATTCTTTCACCAGGTGGGAGAAGTTTTTGGTCATTATTTCTTCAAATAGGTTTTCAGTGTCTTGCTCTCTCTCTTCTTCTGGCACCCCCATAATTCTGATGTTGGTACACTTGAAGTTGTCCCAGAGGCTTCTTACACTATCTTCAACTTTCTGGATTCTCTTTCCTTCTTGCTTCTCTGGAGTCCTTTGCCTCTTAGTATTCCAAATCTTTGATTTGATTCTTGCGTTCCTCTAGTCTGCTGTTGGGTCTCTGTATAATATTTTATTTCAGTCAGTGTATGTTTAATTTCTAGTTGGTCCTTTTTCATATCCTTGAGGGTCTTGTTAAATTTATCGGTCTTTTCTAGGAAATTCTGGAAAAACTATATAACCGTGGTTTTGAACTCTATATCCAGTCTTTTGTTCTCCATTTCTTTTGTTTGAGATCTCTTTCCTTTTCTCAGCATTTTCGCTGCTTCCCTGAGTTGAAAGGGTAGCTTTGTGGGCCTGGGTGTCCTATATGGTTCAATAGGTAAGCCTCCCAGTTACCTGATGTGGACACTCTTGGTGCACCCCTTTATGGACTGTGTGTACACCCTTGTTGTAGTTAAGTCTTGATTGTTGTTGGTGTCACTGGGAGGAATTGACCTCCAGGCCAATTGGCTGTGAGGACCTGCTGTATCTATAACGGAACAATTGCTGTGCTGGACTTGTTCCAGTGGGGCTGGTGCTCACTGTGTCTGCCTCTTGAATGTGTCCCTTATGAGAGTAGTTGAAATCTGATGTCATCTCACACAGACCACTAGATATTCTAGTTTCCAGATCTCCAGTGGGGTGCAGTTCAGCTACTGTCTGAGGCCACCCTACAGGAGCTACAGCAAGAAGTACAGTTTTTTCCTCTTTGCTTGGGATTTGGTGGTTTTGGAGCTCGAGCTACCATTTATTTCGTTTATTTTGTTTATTTCGTTAAGCTGCCATAATACTGGCCATTTATATGCAAAAGCAGCTGTGTGGAGCCCGGGCGGGTTTGTAGAATGTTGAGGCGGGGCCTCAGGGTGGGGTGGGGCAGGGTCTCAAGATGTCACTAGGCTGGGGCATGGCAAACAGTGAGGGCTGCCATCTGCCTTTCCCGTTTCCAAATCTCTGCATTTCCAAATCCAAATCCCCCTGTCCCCAGCTCCAGCGCAGTAAACAATGATTGCTGCGCGCACCTCTGCAAAAAAGTCACCCTTACTTTCGGACCCCGTGGCCGATAGACCAGCTTCTCCCCGTCGGCGTCTGGATCACCCGAGTGACCCCAGAAACTGGATTTCAAAGTGATCGGAAGCTTGTTTCCCTTCGGGTTGAAAAAAAGCTGCGCGCCCAGTCACTTGCCACCAACCTGATTCGCGTGCCTCCTTACCTTTTCAGCTTTTCAGCGCTTGTGCTCCTTTCTCTTTCAGCCAGCTTTCCCGTGGTCCTGGGTGATAGACGTTTTGTCTTTTAGTTGTAGTTTTGAAATTGTTGTGCCAGGCGGCAGGTCAGTTGTTTACCTTTGCCACCATCTTGGTTTCTCTGAGATTAGAAATCTTTTTAATTGGTTAAATTATACATATTTTTAACTTGAATCAGTTATTTAAATTTTATAACTTCTTTTTTATATAAAATATAAACATTGAAAATATTTACAGCTTTCCCTCTTTCTCTTTCTTCTCTAGTATAAGATGATCTTTTTAACTGAATTTCCAGGCTTGTATTTGAGAGCCTAGAGAGGGAGCAGCATTCTCCATCACATTGACATCTTCTGTTCGTGGCTTTTCACTTGATTCCGTATCACCCCTTCTTCATTGGCCTGTTGTTCCTGAGGCACTAACCTTTGGGGCACTTTCTTTTGTTTGTTTGGTTGGTTGGCTTGATTTTTGTCTTATCACTCAAAAAAAAATAAGATTGAGATTTTTAAAAATCTGTGTCAGGGAACAACAATCAGTTGAAAAAACCCCGGAATCACAAAAGCATGAGATGGACAATTATTAAATCCAAAGTCCTTATTCTAGAACAATATTCTGTTCCCCAAAATTCAGTTGTCAGATTATCACCTTCATGATTCTTGCCAGAATTCTGTACTTTTTTTTTTTTTTAATTTTTAAAAAAATATGTATTTTTATTGATTTCGAAGAGAAAGAGGAGGGAAAGAGAGATTGGGGGAAAAAATCAGTGATGAGAGAGAGTCATTGATCAGCTGCCTCCTGCATGTCCCCTTCTGGGGATCAAGCATACAACCTGGGCTTGTGCCCTGACTGGGAATAGAACCCTTACCTCCTGATTCATAGGTCAACACTCAACCACGGCCGGGCAACTCTGTACTTATTGTACTGTTAATTACGTAAATTTTTTTTAATTAGCTCAATTTTTACATTTAAATGCATTTTTAAAGAACGTTTACACTTGATGTAAATAGGAAGTAACTTTAAAAATGAATCCAATGAAAACCATAGTATAAAATTGCAGCTCCATACTATGGTCTACAAAGACTGAGCCTACACTTGAGTCTTACCTTCTGTATGAAAGGAGTTTAAGGGATATTATGGGCGTTAGACATCCTAGCACCCAAATGAGGTATTTCTCCTTAAGAAAATTTGAAAGATGGAGTGGGATCTAGGGTAGTAACTTTCACAATATAAGACTTGAGGTTCTTTTTTTCTTTTCTTTTTTTTTTTAATATATTTTATTGATTTTGTTCAGAGAGGAAGGGAGAGAGATAGAGAGTTCGAAACATCGATGAGAGAGAGTCATCGATCAGCTGCCTCTTGCACACCCCCTACCGGTGATATGCCCGCAACCAAGGTACATGCCCTTGACCGGAATCGAACCCAGGACCTTTCAGTCCCCAAGCCGACGCTCTATCCATTGAGCCAAACTGGTTTTGGCAAGACTTGAGGTTCTTTTGCCCTGGCCAGTGTTTCTGAGTGGTTAAAGCTTCGGCCCACACACCAAAGGGCCGTGGGTTTCATTCCTGGTCAAGGGCACATACCTGGGTTGAGGTTCAATCCCTGGCTCTGGTTAGGGTGCATGCAGGAGGTATCCAATTGTGATTATCTCACATGAATGTTTCTCTTTCCGTCTCTCCTTCTCCCCTTCCCTCCTTTCCACTCTTGCAAAATCAATGGGGAGGAGAAAATAGACGAGGTTATTTAAGGCCTTATTGGTACTACTGAAAATTGGTACTACTTCCAATCCTAGATGTGGGCTGGAAGTCCAAGACTTGGGGAAATGCAGCCCTGGGTAACTGAAGTCTCACCCACCTGGCTTGACTGGCATCTGGGTCTTGGCACTGTTCTTCCTCAGCTCCGCCCTGTATGGTGCTAAAGCAGTGTGCTCAGGCAGACAGGTCAGAGAGCATAACTGTGTACTAGGAACTCCAGAAAGGCACATACAGGGCCACAAGGGGATGCGTGCTCAGAAGAGACCTGAGAACAACCTAAGCTTCCACCTCTGGGTGGACCTGGAGTGCTGTGCCCAACTTCAGTGCCAGCTCTTACACCAGCTCCAGCTATAGACCTACAGCCAGAGCCAACTCTAGAGCTAGAACAAGCTCCAGTACCAGCTTCAGAGCTATAGCCAGCCTAGCCTAAGCCCAGCTCCAGCGCTAGCTCTATCACCAGCTCGAGAGCCTGCTACAGAACTACATTAAACTTCAGTGCCAGTTCTGTAGTCAGTGCTGT